GGCCAAGTATTTTAAAAATAATACGATAGATCTTGTAATAGTGCTCGTGGAGCGCATGCGTCTTGCACGAGAACTGCGACATTATATGAAAGAAATCTTTAAATGATCGCATTATATTATTCGAAATTTTGTCAATTTAAAGTGATGTATATACATTCATGATGATATAGAATTGTACAAAAAAGTCGATTATATTTTTTCAATAAGATCATGTATTCATAATATAGCTAAAGTAAATTACTTTGAATTACAGCAATTTGTAATTGAGAATAATATTTCCTTACTATATTTGCTGACCAAGCATATGCTTGCGCAAACGCAGTTCTGACTTGTTTTTCTTGGCAATAAAAAAAGCTTCAGTTTCCTTCGAAACATCATAGGATGTCTTTCTTACATGATATTACACTACAGAATGCTAAATATTGAAGACACATTCATTCACAAATGTATATCCAATCTATATCTGTTATAATTACTTTCTTATTATAAATTCTTTCAGATATTTATATATTATAAAAAATGCTAAAAGAATTTAGATTATAATAAAAATATTTCTTTTGTCTATTTATGGCTATTAAAATAGCTGTTTACATAAGACTATAAGTATAACAATAAAATATGTATTATGTTCTAATCATGTATATAATTTCGAAAAGTAATAAAAATGACAAAAAGAATAAAAATATATTTATAATTTTTCTTTGAAAAATTCATTCCATTAATAATATTTATTATCGATAAATATTTACAAAGCATGTATATTTTGTAAGAAAAAGTGCCTTCTTTCATACTTTCGCCACTTTTTATAATTTTATTTTTTTATTTGTTGCAGAAATATATTCGCAGCGTCACATTTTAATAACTGTCTAAAATACTGCAAGATTTACCAGAATACATTAATATACTACATTCCTTCATTTTTATATGTGTATAGTAACTAAGTTTTATGGATGCATAAAGCCAATCAAATCTCTTATTCCTCGAATATAACATTGACTAAATATGATCATGAGATCATTGATGAGATAGTTATGAGAAATCACTCTATTAATCGTAAGTTTAACATTTCGATATTTTATAATGTTTTCTTGTCATTTTAAATAACTTTCAAAACATTTATTAATTAAATTGTGCAAGAAAAAAATATATGAAATATATAAAAATATGTATATATAATAT